TTTAGGGTTTCGGGGTTAAGGTTTAGGGCTTCGGGGTTAAAGCAATATTAGAACTCCCAAAAATGACATCCTGATGCCAGCCAGCTCCTGAAGACCCAGACCTCCTGAATACAAGCAGCCTACCCAGAGGCTCCATATATAGTACCCTTATGGAATTAGGCCCCTAAAACCTTTATAAGGATCGTCTTTTGGAGCCTAATTCCATTATGGTACTATTTATGGAATTAGGTCCCTAAAACCTTTATAGGGATAGTCTTTTGGAGCCTAATTCCATAATGGTACTATTTATGGAATTAGGTCCCTAAAAACTTTTTAGGGATAGTCTTTTGGAGCCTAATTCCCTAAACCCTAAACCCTAAACCCTAAACCCTAAACCCTAAACCCTAAACCCTAAACCCTAAACCGTAATGGTACTGTTTGTGGAGCCTCTTGGCTAACAACCGGCTGCCAGACTTTGCAAAGCTGGGGCTTCCAGGATCAAGCATGTGGGAACAAGCATCCTTATAGGCTATAATCTAGGACTCCGTTTAGGGTTTAGGGTTTAGGGTTTAGATTTTAGGGTTTAGGGTGAACCTAGGACAGTTTCAGGTGGGTAGTTACCGCTATAGGAGCCTTATAGAAGGTCTGTGTACCTTATAGAAGCCAGATAGAAGCTCTATATACCCTTAACTCCCCACCTGTAGTTTCCTTTAATATAAGGCAAACTAACAAACTTCCCAAACACGTCCTCCCGCCAATCTGTCCCAAATCTTGACAGTAGCTCAATCTATGAAGCCTTAGCTTTGACAAGACCAGTAAGCCACAAACCCGTAAACCTCTCAACATGGACTGGGATGCCGTGCGCTTTTGGATGCCGCATAGCCTGGACGAAGTCTGGCTTGTGGCCGTGCGGCTGGACCTTCTTGCTTGGGTGCATGGCATTGTGGCTCAAGAGGTTCGCGGTTAAAGCAGAAGCCAGGATACTTCGAACAGGGTTTGGGCGTACCATTAGCTTTGTCGGATGACGATATAGGGACTACAAGGGGGGGGGGGGG